TCTCTAAAGGTAGAGAATCCTTGTATCAACTCTTAGCACAAAAATTGTCTTCCCTTTTTCTCACTGTCCCAGCACAGACTTCTAGTACATAAACCCCCCCAAAATGTTTTTACCTAATGTTTCAAAACATAAAGATTCACAAAAACAATCCCAAAAAGTCCACAAAAGCTCTTTTCCCATGAAAGAGGACTGAACTTCACATATTTCACTAATCATCTTAATAACTCTTTACATTTATTTAGAGTCTCTAGAATTATAAAAATATTTTTTTCTCTAAAGACAGAATATTCTCAAATATTTAAAAGTTTAATCTCACAGATTTTTCTTCTAATCTACTTACTTTCTACAATTCAGCCCACAATACTCTGCAATCCGAAGCACAGTTAACTTCTGGAGAGAAATTCCAAATGCACTAAATTCATAAAAATCCTCTGAGGTGGTCATATGGGCCACCAATTGTCACATTCCTCACACTAAAACACTCAGGGTCACTCCAGGTGAACTGGCTGCATGAAATATTCACACAAGAGACACAGATATCTTTTTCTTTGGGTCCTGTGATGGCTCCTCTGACCTTAAGTGTCTGCAGAAAGAGAGAGCACAACGGAGAGAGAGAAAGTGCTGAACCTTTTAATTGAGGAGAAGCCATTCCAATGAGGCAAGGGGTCAGGTTTCAGGGGGCTGAGTCTAGCTTCCTAATGTCTGTGTCAGCAGGTTGACTGACATCTAGGAAGGCCACACCCAAAGGCAGAGCAAGAGAAGGGGACACACAAAGGGTGTTTCCATGGAATATTCTATCCCAAACAGGGCAAAGGGGTAAGATTACAGAAGAATAGGTGAGTGTAGCCAAACCCTGTGGGTGACACACTTACACCTGAAGACATGCCTTCGACTTCCTGAGCTGGGACAATGCCCAAGTCACCATAAAATGTAGTGAATGGTCAGAATCTCTTGCTTCAGGACTGGAAGGCGTGAGTCATTCAGAGTAGCTCTCCACAAAACTGCTTGGTCTGCGGTGTGTGGTGAATTGGCTTGTGTTCAGTCCATTTCTAGACTCCCCTGAGAGCCAGTGTGGTGGGACAGAAGGACGCTTCAGCCGTTTGGGAGCCGCCAGGCTGTGGATTTGCAAGCTGCCACCCAGCAGCTCTGCTCTCTGACCTTTCACCCTGCAGGCTGGCAGCAGACAGGTCCCTATAAGGAGAGAACCAAGCAGCAGAAGCAGCCCACAGAGTAGCAGGGACAGAGCAGCCCCTCCTTAGGTTGAGTGCCACCAAAGGCCCTGATCTCTAAGAGCTGAGTCCCTAGGCAGGGACAAGCATGTAAGGGATATCAAATAGATGGCACCAACTCCCTGCCTCAGTGTTCTCCAAAGTTTCTTATGCTTAAAAGTAAAGGCCCTGATGTGCTCAGGCTCAGGCTTTGGGAGTTGTTCCTCTGGGCTCTGCTGCCACTACTAAACTGTTGCTGCCAGATCTCGGTGTCCTTGCCCTCATTTGCTGCTTCACCAGAAGCAAGGAGAGAGCAATGGCAACAGCAAGAGCTCAGTGCTCTGGCTCCTCCAGGGAGCTGTGCTGGGGCCTCTGCTTTAACACAGACTGGTGCTGCTTCACACTCTCTGCTCCTGCGCTCTGCCCACCCAGCCTGCAGAGACACCAGTGCTGAGCTTGCAATGAATGCAGCTCTTGATCTTCTCTGAAAGGGTTTCTCCTGGCCTGTGTGGGCTTCCTTACTTCCTCTGTACACCTAGGTATTCTTATTTTGGGGCACAATAAAGTGGAGTGAAGCCAAGTGTTTTTAAACAATGAGCCAAATCCCCTGCGCCCTCTATTTAAATTTTGTTTTCAATTTTGAGACAGGGTTTTGCTCAATTGCTTAGTTGCTCCCTGAGTTGCTGAGGCTGGCATTGAACTAGCAATCCTCCTGCCTGAGCCTTTTGAACCTGGGTATTTTTGAAACCTGATTTTCAAAAGAAATTCTCCCTCGGCTTTCTTCTCTAGACTTCAGGTGGTGTTTGAGTGGGAAAACAATAATTTGCTACTATTCCTATATGCAGGCTGTGGGTTTAGTTAACTCTTTTTAAGGAATTCCACCTACTTTTTCACAGTGATTTCTTCTGACTTAGAACAGTGAGAAGCTTTTTAAAATTTCTTTAAGATGTTAACATTGTTAGTTCTGTGATAAATTTAATAGAAATTAAAGAAAGTTGGGAAAGATCTGCTGTGTGCAGTCTGTAGCCAGTGACTAGGGTCTCATACTGGGAGGTCACACCCCTGTCCTGCACCAGAGAAGGGCTTTCTGAAGGGTGAGTGAAGGTCACACCCTGCTTGCTGCTCTCCACTGTTCTCCAAGACTGCTTCATGGAGCTGTGGAGAACCTCCTGGGGCTTTCACACCTGATGTTGTTCTTGTTCTAATGGTTCTGCTTGTGTGTGGAACACTCCCTCTCTCTGGAGTCATCATCACGTTGGATGTAAATGATTTTCCTTCTTGCAAGGTCCGTTGACTATATTTGTGGGAGTCTCTTTCTGGGCTCTGTTCTGGTCTGTGTTGTGGTAGTACTCTGAGGATCCCAGACTCTGAGTTGTGTCATGTTGGTGTCTAGTTTGATCTTTTTTCTTTTGTGCTTATCATTTTTAGAAAATTGTTTAGCTTATTTTTCTATAAAAGTAAATTTTTCCTAGACACAGTGGTGAGTGCCTATAATCCTAGCTGCTGGGGAGGCTGGGGCAGGAGGATCGTAAGTTTATAAGCTAGTCTCTGCAACTTAGGAGGCCCTGAGCAACATACAACACCCTGTCTCAAAACATCAAATGTGTCAGGAATGTGACTGTGTGGTTCTTCTCCCCTGGATTTGATCCACACTGTGTTTTTGTTTATTTATTTGTTTTTTAATTTGTCACACAGAAGTAAGTAAATAAAAATATATTTCTTTTAAATTTCTGAAATGGGTTTTAGTCTTTCACAGTTAAATGTACAATAAACTGCATTTGTCTGCAGAATAGAGGGAGGAAGTACTTGCCATGTAGATTCTCATTTGCCTGGACCATCATTGTCTTCTGTCCCCAAGACACCTGCTTTCACCCATAATTTTTCCATGCCTTGAAGAACAGCCCACTAAAGGCTTTCTCTTGGGCTCCTACTAGCCTCTGTTGATACTGTCCTGCTTCAAATGTCATGTCTCTTAAGTCTTTGAGCATGGTTCTTTGTGAGTGGCAGGGTCGTGTTCTGGTAGGTGGTCCTGTGGGCTGTTCCACACTGTGCAGAAATCATGGCCTGCTTAGAGACCCACATGGAGTGGCCTGTTTCACAAGCAGTCAGTGTGGGATAGCTCAGGATTCTGGGCTGCAAACCTGCTGCTTTAACACACCCTGGAAGTGCTTGTGCCTGAGGTTTCCTTGCACCAGCTGTGCTACAGGAATGAGGAATCGCTTTCATGACAGACCAACATTGTACATGTGGCCTATCTTGATCAAAGTGTCCTTGATCAGAACGGTGGTGTGTGTCTCACCACATGTATCACACACACATGTGTGTGTACATGATCTGATTGGGACATCTGCTGTTCAGAAGAGTTTGACAATCATTGGACATTCATGGTTGCCACAAGGTTTGGAAAAGGATTTTCTGCTGTCTGTTAAGAAAACTGTTTTTCAGACCTATATCATTTTGTAAGGCTGTTGTTTGGATAAGGTGACATCTGGGGGTCATTGAGTTTTTTCTAAGACACATGCCATCTTTCCATACACCCCATTCTGCTTTGATATTAACCACAAGAAATTATTATATTGTGGTGTTTATTAATCAATGTGCTTGATTACTTGTGGGAAGCCATTCTAACACGTGATCTGGTGACTCCCGTTAAGGGCCTGAGGCACTTTGGCAAAGTCGAAGTTTTCCCGACCCTTTTCTGATGAGAGAGCCCATCTGTGTGGGGGTGTGCCTGACCACTGACCCCGGGACCCAATCACTGACCCTGACCTTGGAGTGCAGCCCCCCCCCAACCTTCATTGGATGGAATTCTCCCCTGAATCTCTTGTTCCCCAATAAAAGGCTGGTCCCCGGCGTGCTCGCTCTCTCTCTCCTGCTAGCCCTGAGTAATCCCTGCTGCCCTGCTGGGCAGTTGGAGGAGGGAACCAGAGGGGAACCGTCTTGGACCTAGCAATAGAAATAAGGTAATTGAGTCTTGTGTTTTTATTTCGATCTCTTCTAACTAACTTTATGCCTAGAACCTCATTAATGAAACCACTGCGCAGGCCACGTGGTACAATTACTAATGGGTAAATTTGTTCTGGAGTAAAGCTCCTGCAAACTTCTTGTTGTCCTCAGTGTAATCATCCAAGTTGAGCTCAGTCCCCAGTGAACATATTGTGACAACCGGTGTGGAAGATTGTCTAACTGTTGTCTATGAGGGAAACTCTTTAGTGACTCCATACTCAGAGGGTGTGGGTTGGGGCTGATTCTAGGCACTTCTTTAAGGATGGAACAATTGACTTTCAGAAGGAAACAGGAGATCAGTAAATACCATGTTGTCTATATTAACTGTGGAGGCCCAGTGAGCCACTGTGGTTGGCAGGATCTGTCTCAAAGGCTAAGTTTTGTGATTCCAGCAATTTCCTACTCAGCTTTCTTTTCTAAGGGTAAATAATATGGAGAATGCTCATATTAGCTCTCTACTGCACAGGATGTTGGTAGGATGGTGATAGAGATGCAATCAACAAATAAGTTAAGGGTGAACCGAGAGCCCCTCTTACTTCCTGTGAACTCACGAAAAGTGATTTCACCAAAGGAAGGGTATACAACACTCTCTGTTTACCTGGTGTGGGACCCAATTCTAGTGTTGGAGTGGCTGTGAGGACTTAAGTACACTAAAGGTTTCATGGACAAAATCGTGGAATTAATCAAGAGGCCAGGGAATCATGTGAACATCACACATGTTGAGTATAGATTTCTCACACTGTCAATCTCTCCTGGCCTCCACTACACATTTGTGGGATATTTTAGATCTCAGCGACCTTTGAGGATGTGGCTGTGAACTTCACCCAGGAGGAGTGGGCTTTGCTGGATGCTTCCCAGAAGAACCTTTACAGAGATGTGATGCTGGAAGTCCTCAGAAACCTGGCATCTCTAGGTAATAATGTTGTGTAGTTATTTAATCACATAGAGAAGTCGTGTTTATTTTGGTCATTCATGTAGAACATGAAAAGACAATCAATTGGTGAATTATTGTAGCATAAAATGCTCCATAAATTTGGAAACGCCTTTCTATCTCCTAAATATTTATAATGTTTTGGTTTGGCATTTTAGGAAAGACCTGGGATGACCAGAACTTTGAAGATCAGATCAATAATTCTGGGAGTAATCTAAGGTAATTGTACTCACAAGAGGAATCCTTGAGGGAATCTGAGAATGTCATATATTTTGCAAGAAATGTGCACAACTTTAAATGTATTTATTCTTACAAGATTTTTTACCAAAAACATATACATAGCTGAGACTGGGGTTGTGACTCAGTGGTAGAGAGCTTGCCTAGCACACTTGTGGCACTGGGTTCTCTTCTCTACACCACATTTAAATCAATAAAGTTTATTCACAACTGAAATAAATTTTACACACATGTATATTTAACTGTAAAATATACTCAGTCTTTTCAAAGTACTTGACATGCAAAAGTACTATGAAATTGCATATGTAAATATCACTATTTGGATAATAGTCGTAGGCAAGCTGTGTTGCAAAGCATTGTTTCCTCTCAGTCTCTTTATTTTCTGGCAATTTGAACAAGTTGGAAAACCTAGTCTTTACCTGATGTTGGTAGTAATGTAAGCCTAGAACCTTTAAATAAATATAAAATCATGAATGAATCAAACATTAATCATGTGCTGATCATTCTTTAAAGAAATCTTATGGTAAACTTCAAAGGCAAAGAACAGTATGGGGAAATTTTCAATGAGATTCCAGTTCTAAAGTAGACAAAGAAAAATTTTAATAGAGTGAATTCATATGATGGCATTATGTGTGCAAATGACTGCATATGTCCTTCATACCTTCACAGGCACTTCAGATCTCACAGTGGGCATGGATGCTATAAACATGAAGAGTGTGAAGAGAAGCCATGTGAATTGAAACAATACAGAAAATCTCTGGTTTCTCTCAAAAGTGTTCACACACAAATGTTAACACAAACTGGAGATGAACCATATGAAAGTACAATCAGTTGTTCCAGTGACATTCAAAGACATGAAGATACTCATACTGAGTGCCAACCCTATGAATGTCAACAATGTGGTGAAGCCTTTTCTTCTCTCCCAGCTGTTCAAAGACACATGAGAACACACAGTGGAGGTAAACCTTTTCAATATGAGGTATGTGGGAAAGCCTTTCATTCCCCCACTTTATTTAGAAAACATGAAAGAACTCATTCTGGAGAGAAACTCCATAAATGTAAACAAGGTGGTAAAACTTTGGTTTCATTCACAAGTCTTCGATGTCACATGATCAGGCACACTGGGAAAGCACATTTCAAATGTAAGCTATGTGGAAAAGACTTTGCTTATCTCAGTTTACTTAGAATACATCAGAGAATGCATACTGGAGAGAAACCCTATGAATGTCAACAATGTGGGAAAGCCTTCAGTACTTCATCTTACCTCCAGATACACGAATGGACTCATACAGGAGAGAAGCCCTATGAGTGTAAGCAGTGTGGGAAAGCCTTCACTCAGTCTGCTCACCTTCACTCTCATGAGCAAACTCATACTGGAGAGAAGCCCTATACATGTCAACAATGTGGGAAAGCCTACACTACTTCATCTTACCTTCAGATACATGAACAATTCCATGCTGGAGAGAAGCCCAATGAATGCCAACAATGTGGAAAAGTCTTCACTACTTCTTCTTCCCTTCACAGACATGAACGAACTCATACTAGGGAGAAGCCCTATGAACGTAAGCAGTGTGGCAAAGCTTTTACTCAGTCTTCTAACCTTCACTCATATGAAAACACTCATATGACAGAGAAATCCTATGAATGCCAACAATGTGAAAAAGTCTTCACTACTTCTTCTAACCTTCACAGACATGAACGGACCCATACTGGAGAGAAGCCCTATGAATGTAAGCAGTGTGGCAAAGCCTTCACTCAGTCATCTTACCTTCACTCACATGTGAAAACTCACACTGGAGAGAAGCCCTATGTATGTAAACTGTGTGGAAAAGCCTTTGCTACATCTCCTCAGCTTCGTGTACATAAACGAACTCATACTGGAGAGAGGCCCTATGAATGTAAGCAGTGTGGCAAAGCCTTCATTCATTCTGGTGACCTTCGCTCCCATGAGCGAACTCATACTGGAGTGAAGCCCTATGAATGTAAGCAGTGTGGCAAAGCCTTTGCTACATCTTCTCAGCTTCACATACATGAACGAACTCATACTGGAGAGAAGCCCTATGAATGTAAACAATGTGGTAGAGCCTTTGCTAGATCTGGTGACCTTAACATACATGGAAGGATGCATACTGGAGAGAAGCCCTATAAATGTCAACAATGTGGAAAAGACTTTGCTGCATACTCTCACCTTCACAAACATGAAAGGATGCATACTGGAGAGAGGCCCTATAAATGTAAACAGTGTGGAAAAGCCTTCATTGACTCCTCTAACCTTCACAGACATGAGAAAATCCATACTGAAGAGATGCCCAATGGAAGTCAACATTGTGGAAAAACCTTTGATACATCCAGTGAACCTCACATGCATGGAAGAACTCACAAAGAAGAGAAGACCAATAAATGCCAACAATGTGGAAAAGTCTTCAGTACTTCTTCTTACCTTCAGATACATGAACGGACACATACTGGATTGAAGCCCTATGAATGTAAGCAGTGTGGCAAAACCTTTGGTAGATCTTCTCAGCTTCACATACATAAACGAACTCATACTGGAGAAAAGCCCTATGAATGTAAGCTGTGTGGAAAAGCCTTTACTTACTCCTCTAACTTTCATAGACATGAAAGAACACATACTAGAGAGAAACCTTATGAATATCAACACTGTGGGAAAGGCTTCACTACACCAACTTTCCTTCAGATGCATGAACAAATCCTTACTGGAGAGAAGCCCAATGAAAGTCAACATTATGGAAAAACCTTTGATACATCCAGTGAACCTCACATGCATGGAAGAACTCACACAGAAGAGAAGACCAATGAATGCCAACCATGGTGGAAAGTCTTCAGTACTTCTTCTTCCCTTCAGATACATGAACAGACACATACTGGAGTGAAGCCCTATGAATGTAAGCAGTGTGGCAAAGCCTTCATTCATTCTGCTCACCTTCGCTCCCATGAGCGAACTCATACTGGAGGGAAGCCCTATATATGTAAGTGGTGTAACAAAGTCTTTGCTAGACCTTCTCAGCTTCGCATACATGAACGAACTCATACTGGAGAGAAGCCCTATGAATGTAAACAATGTGGTAGAGCCTTTGCTAGATCTGGTGACCTTCGCACACATGGAAGGATGCATACTGGAGAGAAGCCCTATAAATGTCAACAATGTGGAAAAGACTTTGCTGCATGCTCTCAGCTTCACAGACATAAAAGGACGCATACTGGAGAGAGGCCCTATAAATGTAAACAGTGTGGAAAAGCCTTTGCTACATCCTCTAACCTTCACAAACATGAAAAAATGCATACTGGAGAGAAACCCTATGTCAAAGATGTGGTAGAGCCTTTGGTAGATCCTGTGAACTTCATGTACATGAAAGAATACATACTGGAGAAAAGCCCTATGAATGTAAACAATGTGGAAAAGCCTACACTACTTCATCTTCCCTTGTGATACATGAGCGAACTCATACTGGAGAGAAGCCCTATAAATGTCTACAATGTGGGAAAGCCTTCACTAAATCCTCTTCTCTTCTGATACATGAACGAACTTATACTGGAGAGAAGCCCTATGAATATAAACAATGTGGTAGAGCCTTTGCTACATCCAGTGACCTTCACACACATGAAAGGATGCATACTCGAGAGAAGCCCTATAAATGTCAACAATGTGGAAAAGACTTTGCTGCATACTCTCAGCTTCACAGACATGAAAGGACGCATACTGGAGAGAGGCCCTATGAATGTCAACAGTGTGGAAAATCCTTTGTTACATCCTCTCAGCTTCACTTACATGAACAAGGCTGGACCTCTCTCTCTGTTTAGGGTACCTCAGTAGCCCTGGGAACATCATGTGATGATTTTTTTTCATACAAAGTATGTAACAAAAGGCAAGGTAAGGAGAGTCCCAGTCTGATGTTCTAATGTAGTGGCACTCCCTTCTCCACCTAAGATTCTTAAATAAGCTTCTCCAGAGACCCTCGCCATAATTTTCTTTATGTAGACTCCTACAAAAAAATGTACACCTCCACCCCTTCCCACTGGGGGTAAACATAATGAAATTTCAAACTGGAGGTTTAGAAAATTTTAGGGATACCCCTGTGAGGCCTGCAGCTAGTAAGTTGGCTCCCTGAATCTTCCCTGGGTGTCCAGCCTCATGTGTCCCACATCACTAATGGGGCCTCCACTGGCAAAAGACCCCAGGTCGTAGCCAGGAATTCTTGTTTGGGCATGATACAGCAGGGTCTCTGGTGGGAATTCAGGAGCACTGGATTCAAGGTTTCCAGACACTTTAGAGCTGCAACCTTCTTACCTAGTGGTCATGGCCCACGTGAAGTCCACAGTGGGTGCAGCACCCTGGATGTGGTCAGCACTCACAAGGTCAATATTACTCTCCATCCTATAGCCAATAAATTCCCAGGAGTCCTGCTATCCAGTGCTTGCCCTGTCCTGCAGGGGGTCCTACATGTTGCTATAAACTTTTGGGTGTTCTTGCTATGCTCTACTGTGATCATTCTACCCAGGAGGCCTGGACACCACTGGTCCTGGGGTCTATTAATGACTGTGGAGCAGGAGGCACTTGCATGGATGCCCATTTACTCCTGGGTCTGATGAACTTCCTGGGCCAGCACCACCCAGTCGTGCCTGGATCTCCTCTTCTCTGTCCCCTTCTTCCCTGCACTGCCTGAGCTCAGAGCCCTCTCAGTTCCCCTACTCATGTTCCTCCTTCCCCAAGGCCTTGGTGGCCATCCTGGACCATGCTCCCTCTCCTAGGGCCTTGTGTGGTCATTGATAAGAGTTCCATACAAGGGGCTTGGGATGTGGCTCAAGCGGTAGCGCACTCTCCTGGCATGTGTGCAGCCCGGGTTCGATCCTCAACACCACATACAAAGAGTTGTGTCCACTGAAAACTGAAAAAAAAAAAAATATATATATATATATATATATATAAAAGAACAGAATACGGTTAAAAAAAAATAAAAAAAAGAGTTCCTTACATACCTGAGTCCAAATATTTAAGGTAGCAAACAAGCTAAAAATAGGGTGATTGCCACTGCTATCTCTGTTACCAGCCTTTTACTGTGTCTCTAATAGTGTTTATTTGAAAAGGAAGGTCAAAAATCAGTGCTATGTGTTAAACCGCAATGCAAACAAAAGACCACCAACTCCAATTTTAAATCAAATTAAAGCAAGCTTATATTGTGTACAGATAGAATGATGGCCAGCTGCTGTCTCTCCCAAACCCAAGCTGCAGATCAGTCCAGCTCTCAGGAAAGAAAAGACATTCTGACATGTAGGAAGGAGGGAGCCTGAGCTGTATCTCAGTAAGGTGGAGCTCCTACAAATCTTCGGTGAAGTGTTCTAGTTCTGAAGCTGATCTTTGTTTCTTAAATATCATTTTACAAAGCTTACATATATTGTTGCTTGAGGTTACATGAATATTAGCTAACACAATAGGATGTTAATTTAAAGCATAAATTAGAAAAAGGCTGAGAGCTTTTAACCTTTTGTGAAAAAGTAACAAAATGATTTTGTGTTTCACAATTTGAACCTTTATATAACTTAGGCTTTCATTAGCTTAAAAATATATTTAAATTATCCCACAGTGTAAAAAATAACATAAAACTTTATATCTTATTGATAACAGGTTGAGTTATAGAGCATAAAAGGATATAAATAAATTTCTAATAAAGTTTATCATCCTTGTGAGCCCAAAATCACCATTCAACTTTAGTTTGAACAACACCAGCTTGATATAATGTTCTTTTAAAACTTCTACATTTAAGACCTGTATACCTGGAAGATATGAACATATTTAATATACAGACAAGAGTAATAGCATCACAATTCATTGATATTTTTATAGTAATTCTGTTTAGCTCTTAAAGAAATAATATATTGCAATAATCCAAAAAAACAGTTGTTGTTTAACCATAGTTGTATAATTCTTAATTCCTTCAAGTTTACTTGCTCAAAAAAAAAGAAAGAAAGAAAGAAAGAAAGAAAGAAAGACAAAACTTAATAAACACAATGTTATGGGTAAATTAATGTTTCAGTTTAACCCATGACATTAATTTCTTAAATTAATGATTTAAGAAATCCTTCTCTTTTAATATATAGATTGATCTTTGGTTTATATTAGTGTATTAACATTTATCCTTAAGGAAAAACCTTAAGAAATTAAAATTAAAATAGAACTTTTTATTTCTCTTTCCCATCTGTTGACCCCATTTTTTTGAAATAATCCTTGTAAATTTCTGAATTTAGGCAAAATATTTTATTTTAATAAGAAATATCTTGGGCTGGGGATGTGGCTCAAGCGGTAGCGCGCTCATCTGGCATGCGTGCGGCCCGGGTTCGATCCTCA